TGGGAGAGAAATTAAAAATTAACAATGGCAACAGCATATAAAGAAAATTTGTATAAGATGTTTTATAGATGGCATATGCCACCAGAAAGATTAGCTAAAATGTTCAAAGATAAATCAGCTAAATATTGGAAATGTCATCAACTGCCGGGATCATATTACCATATGTGGTGGACGTGTAAAGATGCGAAAAATTATTGGGTTAAAATACAGATATGGTTAGAGGAAATGCTACAGCAACAAATAGAGCTAAGACCAAAGATATTCTTATTGGGAATAATACTGGAGAAATATAGCAAAGAAGATATATATTTGATCATTCACATAATAACAGCGGCTAGAATAGTATTTGCAAAAAACTGGAAAGCAGACAAAATCCCATCGGAAGGAGAAATAATAAAGAAAATTTAGAATGTGCAGAAATGAATAGATTAACATTGAGAATAAAAGATAAAGAGGAATCGATGTATTTCAAGACATGGGGAAGTTTTTATGAATGGTTAGAAAAGAAATATAATTAAAGATAGAGAGAGGAAGTGAATAGGGAAAAGATAAATAAGAGAAAAGACAATAAAAAGAATAGAAACTCAGATGACACCTAGGTAAATGGAAAAGGGGGAAGGGGGGAAGAGGAAAAAAGCTACTCTAAAAGTGTACATGAATGATAAAACAGATGTAATTATATATATGTAATATATTAGATATATGTAAATAGAAAATCGGGGCTGCTCGAATACTATTCTAAATTAAGTTGAAAATGGATACAACAAAGGAGTGGGAAAGGAGAGAGGAATAGAGAGAGGGAAGAAGGGGAGAAGAGAGGAAAGGAGAAAGAGGGATTGAAGAGAGGGAGAAGGAGATGAAGAAAAGAGAGGGGAAAGAAGAGTAGGAGAGAAGGATAGAAAGGGAGGAAGAAAAGAAGAGTGGGGGAATGGGAGGGGAAGTAGAAGGGGAGGAGAGGAGGAATGAAGAAAGTAGAAAGGGACAGAAGAAGAAAGAGGAGGGAAGAAGAAGAGGAAAGGTTGTGGTAAAACAAAGAAGAGGAAATGGTAAAAGAGCAGCCCCGAAAAAATAAAAATGAAAGTTAAAGGATAAGATGAATGATCAATGATTAATGATGGATAAGAGATTGTACACTTACCGTATTTTTCGGAGTATAAGATGCAGCTTTGTTTTTGGGGAGGAAAATAGGGGGAGAGGGGAATCTGCCTACCAAGTATTCATCTGGCTAGCATCCTTAGTCTGGTCAGCTTCAGCACATTAGTTTGCTGGTTTTTTATCCCCTGCTTGGGGATAAAAAACAGCTTCTAAGGCACAGCTGAGAGGAAGCAGCAATAAGAAAGGCAGGCAAAGCAGGGGTGGGGAGATCGCTTCACTCGGCTAGTGCCTAGTTAGGGCTGAAAAAAAGCTTCTAAAGAACACCTGAGAATCGGAGGAAAGCATGGAGATTGCTTCACTCACTAGCGCCTCGTTAAAGCACAGCGGAGAGTTGAGGGAGCAGGCAAAGCTGGGAAGAACGCTGGCTAGTGTAAGACACACCCAAATTTTCAGCCTCTTTTGCAGGTGCGTCTTATACTATGAAAAATACAGTAAATATGTTTATGAGAAATAAAAATAAAAACATTTATGCAAAAAAAAGAGACCTTATTAAGGTTTCAACATAGCTAAAGGAGTAAGACAGGGATGCCCCTTATCTCCTCTGTTATTCATTCTCTTAGTGGAAATGTTACAAATTATAACTATAATTATAATTATAATTATAGAGGCAATGATACACCAAAATACCACAGATTTGAGTAAAATGGTGAGTTAGCTAATGTTACAAATTATATATAATAAAGGGATTGAAAATTAAAACACAGGAATACAAAGTTCAGGCCTTTGCGGATAATTTGGCATTTATTATAGAAGAACCTTTAGAATCTGGACAAAAATTACTACAAGATATAAACCAATTGGGCAAAGTGGCAGGGCTCAAAATAAATAAAGAGAAAACTAAAATATTGACTAAAAATCTAACCAATAGACAGAATGAAGAACTAGAGGAGAAATTGGGGATCTTGAGAGCCAAAAAAGTTAAATACTTGGGAATATGGTTATTGGCAAAGTGTATTACAATAAAAAAAGATAATTACAATAACCTACTGCAACAAATACAAAAATATTTGGAGAATTAGACTAAATTACAAATACCATTAATTGGCAGAATTTCAACAATTAAAATGAATATATTACCTAAATTACCATAAAGGAGACAATGATTAGTTGGGTCAGAAATTTCAGACACAATATAGAATTAGAATGGAATAAATTATGGAAAAGAAATTAAAATTTATGATGGCAGTAGCCTATAAAGAAAATCTCTATAAAATGCCATCTATAAAAGATGGCATTTGCCCCCAGCGAGATTGGCCAAAATGTTTCCAAATTTATCTCCCAAATGTTGGAAATGTGGCCATAGATTACTCTTTATAAATCTCCTCCCCTTCTACTTCCCCTCCCATTCCCCCACTCTTCTTTTCTTCCTCCCTTTCTATCCTTCTCTCCTACTCTTCTTTCCCCTCTCTTTTCTTCATCTCCTTCTCCCTCTCTTCAACCATAAATTAGGAACGTACTACCATATGTGGTGGACGTGCCCCAATACAAAAAAAATACTGGTGTAAAATTAAGAGATGGCTGGAAGAAATTGCACAACGAAAGATAGAACTTAAACAGGAGCTGTTCTTATTAAGAATATTAGACCCAAGAATGGAAAAATACTTGCAATATATAATACTACACATATTAATGGTGGCTAGGATTGCCCTCGCACAAGATTGGAAACAGATTAATACGCCATCAGAGGAAAAAGTGATCAGAAAGATACTTGAATGTGCAGAAATGAACAAAATGACTATGGAAATAAAGGAAAGAGAAGATTCGGAGTACTACAAAGTATGGAATAGAATGTACAAGTGGCTAGAAAATAGAAAGCTAAATAAGAAATAGGAGTTTTAAATAAATATTGATTAAATAATAATTAAAGTTATTAATTACGGTCAAAGTTAAATTACTGATTATGTAAGTATAATGTAAATATACGTAGTTAGTATGGTTATAACGGCTGTTATAGTTGTTATAAAGGATAGAAAGAAAGTAGAAGAGCTAATTACAAAAGCAGAATATACATGCCAACGCGGAAGTCTGTAAAAATACGATACATTGTTTTGTTTGTCTTGTTTTTTATTGTTTTTTTCTGTTTTTAAAGGTGAAAAATGCTTAATAAAAACTATTTTTAAAAAATAAAAAATAAAAAGAATAAAGTTACAAAATTTTCAATTTTTTAAATCAGGAACAGTGATTTCCTAACCTATCCTAAATGTTCCCTAAACAGCTTCCAAGCTGAAAAGGAACCATATGTTTTGTAACACATGCAAAGCAAAGTGCTGTCTGCAAACAAAACCAGAAAATAGTCTCCAACCTTCGCTTTGTTGTGAAGGTTGTTGAGAGTGTGGTTGCGCGACAGCTTCCCCAGTACCTGGATGAAACGTCGTATCTAGATCCGATCCAGTCGGGTTTCAGGCCTGGGTACAGCACGGAAACGGCATTGGTCACATTGGTTGATGATCTCTGGAGGGCTTGGGACAGGGGTTGCTCCTCTGTCCTGGTCCTGTTAGATTTCTAAATGGCTTTTGATACCCTCGACCATGGTATCATGCTGCACCGGTTGGAAGCGTTGGCGGTGGGAGGCAGCGTATTATGGTGGTTCTCCTCCTTTCTCTCCAACCGGTCGCAGTCTGTGTTGACAGGGGGGAAGAGGTCGACCCCGAGGCCCCTCATATGTGGGGTGCCACAGGTGTCGGTCCTCTTGCCCCTTTTGTTCAACATTTATATAAAGCCGCTGGGCGAGATCATCCGTGGTTTCAGGGTGAAGTACCATCAGTACGCTGACGAACACCCAGCTGTACATCTCCACCCCGGACCACCCCAACGATGCCCTTGAAGTGATGTCCCGGTGCCTGGAGGCCGTACGGATCTGGATGGGGAGAAACAGGCTCAGGCTCAACCCATCCAAGACTAAGTGGCTGTGGTTTCCGACGTCCCGATATAGTCAGCTGGTGCCATCGCTGACTATTGGGGGTGAATCATTAGCCCCCACGGAAAGGGCTCGCAACTTGGGCGTCCTCCTGGATTCACGGCTGTCCTTAGAAGAGCACTTGACGGCCATGACCGGGAGGATTTTTCATCAGGTTCGCCTGATCCACCAGTTGCATCCCTTTTTAGATCAGGACTCTCTACACACAGTCATTCATGCCCTCGTCACCTCTCGTCTGGACTATTGTAACACTCTCTACATGGGGCTCCCCTTGAGGTGCACTCGGAGGCTCCAACTGGCTCAGAGTGCAGCCGCGTGGGTAGTTATGGGAGCAACGTGGAGTTCCCATGTAACACCTCTCCTGCGCGAGCTGCACTGGCTCCCGGTGGTCTTCCGAGTGTGCTTCAAGGTTCTGGTTATCACCTTTAAAGTGCTCCATGGCTTTGGACCTGGTTATCTACGGGACCGCCTGCTACCACCAATAGCCTCCCACCGGCCAGTACGCTCCCATAGAGAGGGGCTCCTCCGGGTGCCGTCGGCCAAACAATGTTGACTGGCAGCTCCTAGGGGGAGAGCCTTCTCTGTGGGGGCACCTACGATCTGGAACGAGCTCCCCCCAGAGATATGGAGGATCCCGGATCTGCGCACCTTCCGTCGCACGCTTAAGACTTTCCTATTCCATCAAGCTGGCCTGGCCTAAATCTTCTCCCCTTTTTAAATGTAAATTTTTAAATGTAAATTTTAATTTGTTTTAAATTATGGGGTATTTTAAATTCAGCCAAATTATTTAATTCATTTTTAATTCATTTTAAATTTTTGTATTTATGTGTTTTATCTCGTAGCTGTTCACTGCCCTGAGTCCTTCAGGAGAAGGGCGGTATAGAAATTTAATAAAATTAAATTAAATAAATAAATAAAATATATTTACCAGCATTGGATCCTGTCAGGTTATAGCGTGCATTTAGTTTTTTTATGATGCTTTCATGAATTTGAAACCAGTCACTCTCTGTGTTACACCTGTAAAAAAAGTAACATTGTAAAACATTGCTCAGAAGTTTATGCTGTATCAACAGGAAAAGTAAAAATGTGAATGATCCTGTCAGCTCCAGATTGAAGGATATCCTGAGCAAACTTGCCCTTTGCAGTAGCTATCCAAGTAGTTACTTTCAGTAGTAACTTTAATCCACTCACCCATCATTTTACCAGATTAATCAACTGAGACAGCAGCACGTGTTCTATTGTCTGTTTACATAATATAAATATGTAATATGCATGCAATGTGAAACCTTGACAGAGCATTGTTTCATAACATTGTGTGCAATTCTAATTGGTAAATGAGTTATTGCTGCTATTAGGCAAGTTTGCACATGAGAACTCAGCCCTATATCAACTGCCAGTGGGATATGAATTTAGATTAAGTGAATATATCAGTAAGTCCAAGGTGTTTTAATTTGGATTTCTGCAAAGATCAGAAGTTGGACTTCGTGGCTTGACATGGTCCCTTCCAACTTCATGATTCTAGACCCTATTCTCTGCTTTAAAGAAAAGCTTAAAAATATATTCTCAATAGAAAACACAGTTGGAAAATAAAATTCTCCACTGCTGATACGTTCAGCAGGGAACACTTCTAACTGAATTTTAACAAAAGTAAAAAGAATCCATTATACTATTAGCCCATGATATTGTTGTAAAGTCTTCCATTGCTTCCCACAGCTCTAATTTAGGATCCTGGGGACCCCACTCGAGAAAAGTTTCCCTCGAGACACATAATGAATCCTAATCCTAATTTTAAAAATAACAAACATTTCCAGAACGTGGCTGACAAATAAAAACCACAGAATAAGATCTCAAATTTTCTCTCATTTTGGTTGTCCCAAAATTCAAACCTGTAAATCTAAATTTTTTTACTACCAGTTCTGTGGGCGTGGCTTGGTGGGCATGATGTGGCTTGGTGGGCGTGGCTTGGTGGGTGTGGCAGGGGAAGGATACTGCAAAATCCCCATTCCCTCCCCACTCTGGGACCAGCCAGAGGTGGTATTTGCCGGTTCTCCAAACTACTCAAAATTTCCATTACCAGTTTTCCGAACTGCTCAAAATTTCCACTACTGGTTCTCCAGAGTATGTCAGAACCTGCTGGATTTCACCCCACTGTATATTACTACAATTTTTACCTCAAAACCATTTTGAAAAAGATAAACTATCTGTAAGAGATTGGTGTTGAATGCACGGATGAAGATGTCCTACTGTTTCTTCTGTACTGTTTTCTTAAAATTTTAATATAGGCATATGATTAATCAATACAATTTATTGTATTGTAGCAAATTGGCTAAGAATGAACTAGAGGGAAGAAGAGATTAAAGCCTTTCTCTAACCTTCTAGTGTCAGATTTCAGATAGCTCTGAATCTTTACACCTCCAGAAATTGAACCACATTCAGGAACTAGACAAAAATACAAATTTCCCATTTTTTTTCTCAATTTTCGGAGTGGAATGCATATATTCTATTTCCACAGTTGTTCTGTCTGGCTGATAATCTTACTAGCCTCATCTCTTATATTCAATAAGCAAATCCTTGCTGCAGATGGTAGGGAATGGAAAGTGTTAAGTCTCTTAGTTGTTACCAAGATTGCTATTCTCTGTTAAAATTCAACTGATCCATGACCCCAGCTGATGGATATATATACTGATTATATATATATATGTAGGTCTTTGGTTATTCGGGTTTTCTCCCACGTAAAATTGGAAGTGTCTTGGCAAGACACTTCCAATTTTACGCAGGAGAAAACTCAAATAACCAAAGACCTACATACAAATACCCGCGAAAACCTCAGAAAATATATATATATGCTCTGATGAATGCAGGTGCCGACAGGAGTGGGAACGCTGCTATCGCCAGCCCTGTCCTCTGTCCAACCGTCTACTTGCTTGTGGCTGCAACAGGCCAATCTCTTGGCGTGTTGCCTGCCCTGCCTGTTGGCCCTGCTGCTCCTGGGGCACTGGAGCTCGGGTCTTGCTCAGGCTGCTGCTATGATGAGGCAGAAGGTCATGCGGGCCATCAGGATTGGTCCTTCCCCTATGCCTCTGCCCAGCTGCTGGGCCTGCTGCACCTGCTGCTGCTAGCCTCATGGGATCTCTTCGCCATCCTGGCTGCACTGCTCTTGGCTGCCATGCTGGGCTGCTCCTACCTAGCATGGGACAACTTGGCTCAGATCTACGACCTCTAGAGCGCCTAGTCTGCTGTCACCTTTGAGCTGCACCCCTACCCTAACCTGTGCGAGCTCTGTGGCAGCCCTGCCTGCAGCGGGATGGAGAAGGGAGGGGGAGATTGCCCCTTCCTCCTTTGCACCCCAAAATCCCATCTTTCTGGCCGCCGAAACCCCAGCCTGCACGTCTGTGCTGGAAAGGTGAGAAGACATGCAATTCAATGCTATCGGTATGCCGTGCAATGCAAGCCATACAAAGCAACCTGTCTGACCCTCTTGGCTCTGGGGATGATCCCAAAGGGAGACAGCACAGGATCCCCAGGGTGGAGGCCTCCCGGTGCAACATTCTGCCGCAGTGCAAACCTCTGCCTTCCCTGCATATGATTGCAAGGCTGGAGGTCTCCACAGCCTCTGGAGGCTCCACTGGCAACTGCTGGCAAAGTGGCCATTGCAGGCCAACAGGAGCTGCCCAACCGAGAGCAGTGCAAGGTAGAGCAATGCCATCTCGCCTGCCATCACCTTCGGGCTGTACCCCTTCCCTGCCCTGTGCAAGCTCTGTAGTGGCCCTGCAGCAGGAGGGAGGGGGAGATCGCCCCTATTTCCTTTATGCCCCGAAGCCCCATCTTCCCTGGCCCCCAAGCCTCCAGCCTGCACCCCTTTCGCAGGAGCAAGACACGCAACTCAATGTTACTTGCAGAGGCCTCCCTCTGCCACAGCTCTAGAGCAAACCTCTGCCTTCCCTGCACAGAATTGCAAGGCTGGAGACCTCCACAACCTCTGCTGACCAACCCCCAACCTGCCTGGACTGGCTTTGCAGCCAGGGAAGACAGGGTTGTGGGGCACAAAGGAGAAAGAGGCAATCTCCTCTCCCTTCTCCATCCATCTGTCCCACTGCAGGGCCACAAGGGAGCTCCTGCCCTCCGAAGCCATGCAGGACAGGGGAGGGGTGGAACCATGCTTCAGTGGGAGAGGGGTGGAGCAATTTTTCAGCATCCCCCCCCGCATCCGGAATCATCCCTGGAGCCAAGACTGTTGGGGCAGTTTGCTTTGCATGGCTTGCATTGCATGGCATACCAGTAACATTGAGTTGCGTGTTTTGCTTGCCTTCTAGCGCAGGGGTGCAGGCTGGGGGCTTGGTGGACAGGGAAGACAGGGTTTTGAGGCACAAAGGAGGAAGGGGCAATCTCTCCCTCCCTTCTCCATCCTGCTGCAGGGCCGCCATGGAACTCCTGCCCACCAAAGCTGCGGGGTGGCCAAAAGCAGCGTGGCCCAAAGGGCAAAGAGCTCCTGTAAGGCCAGCAGCAGCAGGTGCAGCAGGCCTAGCAGCTGGCCAGAAGCATGAGGGGGAGAAGCAGGCGATCCTGATGCACCACACAGCCTTTTGCCTCATCGTACAGTAGCAGCAGTCCGAGTAAGACCCAAGCTGGCAGAGCGCAAATCATGGTTGCCGCCTGCTCCAGAGCCACAAGGTGAGTTGCAGAAGAGCGGGGCACTCAGCTGGGAGATTGCCAGGTGCTGTGGGCAGGGTTGGGGTTGGTGAGAGTGTGCTGGAAACACCTCCAGGCACCTAGAGAGACAGATTGAGAGGCAGCTCCTGGCCCTCACTGGCTCAGCTGATCCGCAGGGCAGCAATTAAGGGGCCGAGCTTCCATGAGGTGACCGGAGAAGGGAAGGAGCTGCTGTGCTAAGCACTGCCTCATGGATCGCTGACCATGTTTGTGAGGGGACAAAGTGCCCTAGTGAAGGGGGTGGACATGGCTGCCTCCTGTGCTGGACATGCCCATCCCCTTCACTAGGGCTTATATTTGGGGTAGGGTTTATTTTCAGGGAAACACGGTATGTGTGTGTATAAGTATAAACTATACATACATACATACATACATACATACATACATACATACATACATATACACTGCTCAAAAAAATAAAGGGAACACAAGCAGAAGACATCCGAGATCTGAATGAATGAAATAGCCTTATTAAATACTTTGTTCGTTACGTACAATAGTTTTGTATTCCCTTTAGTTGTTTGAGCAGTGTATAAACTACTGTATGTAAAGAACAAAGTATTTAATAAGGCTATTTCATTCATTCAGATCTCGGATGTCTTCTGCTTGTGTTCCCTTTATTTTTTTGATATATGTATGTATGTATATATGTATATATATATGTATATGTATATGTATATATGTATATATAAAGATAAAATCTCATTCATTTCATTTTATCCATAGAACTTGAAAGGAAAAATAGTCTACAGATTATATTTCATTGATAAAATGTGATTTAAATATTGTTGGAACATATAACAAATATATGTATTCTTACATATATACTTTTAAAATAAGGTCATCTTTTGTATCACCAGCCAGTAGATCTGCTATACTGAGGACCGCACAACCAAAAGGTCGCCGATATTGTATATTGCAAGCATTTTTCTTTTCACCTGCTCCCATTCGGCCTGTCAAAACAAAATATATTGTGAAAGAAAAAAACAAAAGACACTAAATAAATACATATCTGCTACCACCTGCAGTTAATTTAATAATTTTATTGGATGCTAACTGTGCCAACATTTAAGAGCACCTTCAATCTGTATCCTTCTGAATTGACCTAATTGTATAATAAATAGACAAAATGCCTACATTAAACTATGTGAGCCAGCATTCTAAATTTGACTTTTCTTAGGAGCATTCACAGTTCACTATAAGCCCTCTATTGACATCAAGGTTGACTCCGCCTTCCATCCTTCCCAGATGGGTAAAATGAGGACCCAAATTGTTGGGGGCAATATGCTGACTCTGTAAACCACTTAGAGAGGGCTGCAAAGCACTGTAAAGCAGTATATGAGTCTAAGTGCTATTGCTATTGCTACCAAAGAGGAACCCACATTAAATTTCTTAAGCTCCAGCTGTATATAGTCACTAAATCTTTTATCAGGAAAAGAGGTTCTCTCAATCTCTGCCTTAAATACACATGAATTATATATTTAAATTATGGAGCAACAAAAGGCACATTCTTATTAACAAATCACATGCTTGATCATTATTGTCACATCTTTGTTTTAAAATAACTTGCACTTTTGCCATTAAATTTCATTGGAATGTTTGTAGTAAAATAAAAAAGAGAACAACAAACCTAGGATCTAGTCTTGACTTTGCAAGACATCATAGGCAACTGAATAGATGCAGGGGCAAGAAATCATAGGCAACTGAACAGATGCAGCTCAAATAGGAAATGAACTCAACAAAATATTAACAATTCCATTTATACTTGATAATCCACACATACACACACATATACATATACATATATCTTCCAGAGTAGCTAGCTTAATTGAGACTTCAATCGTTTTTCTGCGCATATGAACATTTCAAAGTTTTAATAAGTAGTAATAATAACATAACAACAGTAGCAATAACTTGTCAATTCATGTGACTCTGCCCTATAGTTTAATAGGACAGAAAACTGTTAGTTTATATCTGCCCTAAAAAGGATATGAGACTGATATGTAATACATTTAATATAATGTATGTGGCTCCTTAACAACAATTGGTGTATAATTAAAAATTTTCCTTCTTTATCAGCAGAAATTAGTATATGCATACCAATGCGTATAATGTGCACAGTAATGTAGATGTCCTTCCTAAGTTCACTGCTTCCCAAATCCTGTGAAGAATCAGAGCAATCCAAAATTATCATATAATTTTTTTATGGATTATTGATATAAACAATTTAAAAATTTTAAGTGTACTTCTGCCTAGCATACTGAATAGCAGTAAAGAAAAAATAAAATATGGGATATTCAAATATATTTCATTAACACATTTGTACGTGTTCATGGTCCTGAGAAATATTAGTAAAAAAGTTAGTGATGTAACCATCTTTTTTTGGAGGTCTTCAATCCTCCAAATCTGCATTAAGTCAAGATTTCAAGTCAGAGAATTTGGAATGACTATCTCTAGGCTTCTAGCAGAAATAGGTCTCACTGTGCAGTTATGGTTGTAGCCCTGAGTATCAAAAGCTATCCAGTTGTAGTTTTATTATGGTGCTGCCATGATGTCAGCCAGCTTTTTGAAACTAGATGAAGTCCTAGTTGATCAGATATGAATAATCACAATGTAAGTGATATTATACCATAAATCTGATTCTATCCATCAAAATAAATCCCATTCAGATTATTCTTAAACCTAATTTAGAAACTTTCTCACAAAGTCCCACTGAAATGTTAAACACTATGTTTCATATTGGAAAACAAAAGACTCCTTTAATTCTGAACTAAAATATATCTCAGAAGCAACATCAAAGCTATCTTTGTGCCTATCATATATTTAAAAATAAAATTGCTCTACTTGTTATTGGCCAAATGGACAAGTTTATTATTATTATGTTGCTTTGTTCTTATTAATTTCTTAGATATTAGTGTGAAGCATCACTATTGCATACACTCTGGTCATTTATTTGGATTACCGAATAAGGAATAAAAAAACTCATTAAAATACAGCAAATAAGGACAAACATATATAAAGCAACTCACCACAAAAAGAGAGCAATATTTTTCTGGCTTCTCTGGACATTTTGGCAAACCATTCCGATTTAGTTTTAAAAAAAATCTCTCACTGTAAGATAAATATTATAATTGGAACAGATAAATTTATCTGTCACAGCAATGTGCAAAAAAAAACCCAAACCCACCCCCTATTCAGTATTTGGATAAATAATATTTTTTATCACTGTTTTCAAAACAATCTTTTCTAAAATTCTAGAACAAGGTTGCAAAACAAGCCTTTTTTTTTTTTTTAAATTACCAAAGTAACTGATACTTTTGCTACAAAAGCCAGCTCACTCTAGGTCAAAATGCAGAATTCCATGAGGTTGAGTTAATTGCTAAAAGAGCTACTGATATGGAATCAAAGCCAGATGCCTCTTTAAAATAACTCATTGAATAAAGCAGCAACTCCTTAATTATATTTTTCATTATTAAGGAGTTGCTGCTTCAGTCAATGAATTATTTTAAATTCATTTCACAACTAATATGTTACTGAACTCAGTAACTGAACTAGAAATAATCTATCAGGACCAACAAAGGCTCATCCATTTATATAGTAAGGTTACTGGTAGAAAAATAGTGACAAACAATTGACAAAATCATCTTAGATAAAAATAATTTGCGATACTTGTTTGGATGTTCAAATTTTGTTTTAGCAAATAAAAAAGTGGAAGCTAAAAAGAATATTATTACTTGCTCTGTTTTTTAAACCAAGAATTGCTATTCCCATTCCAGCTGATTTATCCAGATACAGGATAAAATTTGTGATGAAAATTTTCTTGCAGGATAAAAATAAAAAAGTCAAGAAGAGGAAAAAGTTTAAAATAAGTACATTATACTTCAGTATGACGTTTGTTTTCTTATATTTTATGAAAAAATGAACAAATTATAAGTGACTCAGTACTCAGTCATCAACTTTTCACTCAAGAATCTAAATTAGAAACTTAAAATGCAATTTTAAGATGCTATTAAAAGAAATACTAATCAAAAGAAACAATACTGAAGAGATTAAAATTAAATCCATAATTTGAGGAGGGGGCTTCCCTTTCTGTGTCTTCTAATCATCTTATTCCAAAGTTTTGCCATAAATAAGAGATTGCTCTGTGCATTATTTTTTAAATAAAGCTTTCTCAGCTGTTTCTTCAGCTCTTCTCAAGGGCAAGTAATTTGTCACCCATATGTTCTTTTCCATATACAACAGTAAAAATTGCAGCCAAAACATCTATTCCAGTCTTTTAAAAGGCAGAATAAAAGGCTAATATTAACAGCTGCATCTTGTACATTTTCCAAACCTTTCATAAGGTTGAACAGTCTTCAGTGAAGATTCCATTCTTGTCACTTAAATTCAGATGAAATGCTTTAATTAGTTCAAATTCAATATTAGAAATTCATAGGTCTGAAATATTCTATTTTCTACATAGGTTCTAATTTTTGGTACCAAAATTCAGAGTTTCATGCGAAGTCAAAGTTTGCAGGAAAGGTAAGTGATTTTCATATTGACAAGGACATATGAAAAATATTATCTGCTAAACTATTGTGCAAGAGTTAAATACTTCTTAAAAAATGACAAACCAAGGCAGTTAAGTAGACTAGACAGATGAATTATTTATTTTGAAAAAATATGGGGAGTGGAGAATTCTAGATTTAATAGTGTAGGGGATATTTTAAAAGTTATTATTATCAGAATAAAGACATACAGAGTTATGTCTTTACCTGACCTAACAAGGGAATAAGTAAATATGGGATACAATATAATAAGTTATAATTTTCCATAATGTAGATTATCATATTGCTTATGAAAGATATTATACAATTTATATAAGGTTTATTCTTTGTTCATTTGTCTAGAGTTAGTATTTTAAAGTATAGACATACTATTATATATCTAGACCACAGCCATGTTTGTCCGATGTGTGAACCTTGGACATACACAACTTCTGGATTGAGATAAATACCAGGTACTGAGTTGTACAGAAAAACAAGATAAGGGAATACCAAAAAGATGAGAAATGAAGGGGCTGGGTGCTTAGCAACACAGGCCAAACTAAGTGTAAAGTTTAGGTAAAATAGCAGAGTATAGGTGGACTGACCTGGGCTTATCAGCTGGGTCTGGTAAGGAGGGACAAGTGGCCAGTGATAGAATTGTATAAAATAGGCTGACCTGAAATTTCACTAGCCTTTGCAAACACTTTTAATAAATCTTACTTCTGATTGACCCAAGTATTGTGTGAATTTGTTATGCACAATTTGGTGCCCAATGTGGGGCTCCAGAATGGCATCCGGGTAGCCTAGAGATGGCCCTGCAGGGAAGAAGGCATGCTCTGCTGATTTCAGCAAGGGAAACGATGACAGATCCAATGCCCATGAAGGAACCGAGACATTAAATAGAGGTCAACAAAGAAGTAAGAACCTCAACAGAAATCTTGAAGTGGACACAAACCCTTATCACAAAGATCCTCAATTCAAGATCATCCATCCAAATTCTTAATAAAAAATACTATTACACCAAGCATGTCTAAATTATTTGATGTTAATAATTATTAAACACTTTTGAGCAAACAGCAAATGTGAGCTTTTATCTTCAAAACTTTGCATAGTACCATAGATGTAATTTACACTGTATGCACAATTATTAGGCAGGTGAGTGTTTTGACCATATCATCATTTTTATATATATTTTCCACCTCCAAGCTGTATAAATCTGAATGCTTAGTGGATATAAGCATATCAGGTGATGTGTATTTGTGTAATGAGGAAAAGTGTGGCCTAAGGAGATCAACACCCTGTATTAAGGTATGCATAATTATTAGGCAGCTTCTTTTCCTCAGGCAAAATGGGTCAAAAAAGAGATTTAACTGAGTCTGAAAAGTCAAAATTGTAAAAAGTCTTTCAGAGGGATGTAACATCCTTGAAATTGTTAAGATATTGGGGCATGATCACAGAACCATCAAACATTTTGTTGCAAATAATCAACAGAGTTGCAAGAAAGGTGTTGAGAAAAAAAAAAAGATGCACATTAACTGCCAAAGATTTGAGAAGAATAAAATGTGAAGCTACCAAGAATCCATTATCCTCCAGTGCTGTCATATTCCAGAACTGCAACCTACCTGGAGTGCCCAGAAGCACAAGGTGTTCAGTACTCAGAGACATGGCCAAATAAGGAACACTGAAATCTGACCACCACTGAACAAGACAAGTTGAAAAGGCAAGACTGGGCCAAAAAATATCTGAAGACAGATTTTTCAAAGGTTTTATGGATCAGATTCGACTCAGAGGCCAGCAAGGTGGAGGTGGGGTAGTGGTATGGGCTGGTATTATCAAAGATGAGCTAGTTGGATCTTTTCATGTTGAAGATGGGCTCAAAATTAATCCCCAAACCTACTGCCAGTTTTTAGAAGACACTTTCTTCAAGCAGTAGTACAGGAAAAAGTCTGCATCTTTCAAGAAGACCATGATTTTTGTTATGTCCGTGCAGGTGTGAGCAGAGAATTTCTTCTGCCACGCAGGTGTGGGACATATTTTAATGTTATTGGTTAAAGGCTGATAGGTTTCCTTTAAAAGGGGTTATCAGCTAGAAATTGCATGTTGGTTTTACTGAGTCATTATCTGCAATAAACATTGCTGCTGGAAGTTTGGCTTCTTGTCTGTGTTCCCACTCCCACACATTCCATTGGCGACGAAGGAGGAATTGCTGGGCCCTGAGCCAATGTAGAGATAAAAGAGGCACACGTGAGTGGAGACTGTTTGTTTTGGAAAAACAATGGCTAACTCACCACAGTTTGTTCCGTTTGACCCTGAAACACAGACGTGGGATTCTTATCTAATCTTTTTTGACTTTATATTGGAAGCTAATGACTATACAAATATCACAGACAATCGTAAACAAGCACTTTTTTTGAGCATTTGTGGAAAATAAGTGTTTGAGATGGCGAGGGCCCTCATTGCACCCCAACCCCTGCAGACAGTTCCTTGGGACATATTATTAAGCAAATGAGGGAACATTATGCTCCTTTACCATATTGCATAACTAGAAGACATGCTTTTTACCATAAGGACCAGGCAGCGGGTGAGTCTATCAGTTGTTATATGGCGGCCCTCAGGAAAACAGCTATCTATTGGGAATTTAGCAACTTAGATGAAGCCCTTTGGTCTGTAGGGTTCGGGTTACAGAGACGATTATTGGTGCAACCAACATTAACGCTACAGACAGCAGTAGAGGAGGCGCAAGCCGCCGAATCATCGATCGACGGAAGAGATACAGAAGTCGGGCAGCCCCCTGGCGGCTAGAAGGGGGGAAACCGTCCATTCGGGAGAGGTGGAATTATGGGAGGACACTGAAGATGAGGGAGATAATCATGATGATGTCCATCAGTCGAGAGCAACCAGCAAGGATCGCAGAGTGACAGAGGATTGAAAGTTGTTCTCCTCATGTATAGGGTGCGGCGGAAACCATCTGAGAGCTATGTGTTGCCATAAAAACACCATTTGTAGACAGTGTGGGAAGAAGGATCACCTAGCACAAGTTTGCCATGACGCATTGCCTGCCCCCCCCCCCCAACTGGACAGACTTCAATGTGTAATAGGGGGAAGCATCGCCCACTGAGGCTAAGAACCCCAGAGGATGAATGTTTTACTATTAACACGGATGCCTGTTGTTCAGAGAGGGTGAGCAATCAAATCGGGATTCCAGGAAGTAGTAAAATTTACATTACTGTCCTTATTGTGGGATCTCCCTGCTGGATAGAAGTGGATACGGGGTCAGCAACAACAATTGTATCCTGGCAGACTCTACAGAAATTGGTGCAACACGAAGCTGAGTGGAAGCTTATGTGTAGTCATATTCGTTTGAGAGATTATAAAGGAAATAACATCCCCATCAAGGGTAGCGGAATGCTCCACGTAGAATATAAAGTCTTCTCTGGGACACCCAGAGCAGACAGCCTCCCCTCTCTACGAACTAGAGACAAGGAAGACGGCCAACCACATCATGTGCAGGCGGAGCAGTGCTGAACAAGCTGCACTGCTTCAGGGGGAAATTTGATGAGGATCAGCTGGCTCTATTCCTTGATT